GTCTGGCCCAACTACATCCGTTACCACGGGTGGATGTACAAGGGCGGCAACGTCGACAGGGACGTCTTTGACGAGGAGAGCTGCGCGCGCCAGGGCGTGAGCGTCTGTCCCGGCGCGGGCGAGTGGGGCATGAAGGAGGTCTTGGATTGGGGTGTTCAGAAGGTGGAGGAAGTCATCCAGGAGAGAATCCAGAGGTAAGAAAGGGAAGACGAAATCTCCTGATCAATGTCGACCTCTAGCATTATAGATAAGAGGTGAGCGACAACGGCATAGCGTGCGGCCTCACCTATTGAACAATCTATTGTCTAATCAATAGGACGTGTAAATCTGAGCCCTCTTGCTTATTTGGTTTTCCAGACACAAGCCCCAAGATATCTTCTTCGGCCTTTTCGACATTACCTCCATCGACAAGAGCCTCAGTCGCGGACCTTGACTGTATCTCTGACCTTTTCATTCTCCTTCTCTGTTGGAAATCCTAACCTTGGCGCCTTCTTCTTCTTGCCGCGCTTGTCTCCAAACTGTTCGTCAAACTTCTTAATGTCCCTCAAGCTCGACATGTCCTCCGAGATACTTGCCGAAATCTCTTCTAGGGCCTTGTCAAAGTGCTTCTTGGTCAGCGTACGTCGTTCGGGATGTTGATATGGTTCCTCGCCCTTGTGTTGTCTGGCCAGTTCGTTCTCCTCTCGGACACAATTTAATGCCGCTGCAACAGCGACGTTCTTCAAATCGGAGCCCGAGTAGAAGGGTGTCTTTTTTGCGAGATCTTGTAAATTGACATCGTCGCCAAGTTTCTCGTTGCGCAGGTGGATCTTGAGGATCTCGAACCTATCAGGCTCCGTAGGCAGATCAACAAGCAAGCGGCGCGGTAAGCGGCGGAGAACAGCATCATCGAGATCCATAGGCCGGTTAGTCGCAACCATGATGAATGCACTGCCCGAGTCGTTGCTCATCCCGTCCCACTCTTTCAGAAATTGGTTGAGAAGTTCGCGATGACTGACACGTCGACCCTGGTTGCTCCTCGCGCTGAACATAGCGTCTGCCTCGTCTAAAAAGACAACACAAGGTGATAGTTTCCTAGCTAGGCTAAACAGGGCTTTCACATTCTTTTCCCCTTCACCGACGTACATATCGTTGATGTCTGCCGCGCTAACTTCGAGCATGGTTGCGCCGGATTCTTTGGCTACCGCTTTGGCGGCCAAAGTTTTACCTGTGCCTGGCGGACCATAGAGCAGGAGGCCAGGGATCTTGTCGGATGCGAGGACACCATATTTGAAAGCCTCGGGCCGAATGAGGGATAGTGTGGTCAGTGTTTGAAGGGTATCGATGGTTTCAACTGGCATGTGGACATCATTGAAGGTTGTGTTGATATTCTTGGATTCGATGATACCACCCATCAGTCGCTTCTCATACTTGGAAGCCGACGCACGGATTCTGGCAAGTCGGTCATCCTTAGTCATATGTCGTTCTGGAACTTCCTTCTTCGCTTCCTTTGATTGTTTCTCTGCCCACCGGATTTTAGTCTTGTCACTGTGGTTCAGATGGGATGTTGCTGCGCTGATGATGGGCTGTGGTTGGTCTTGGTTTACAGAGGTATTGGCTTCACCCTCCGAGCTCGAGGGAACAGCTCCTGCGATATAGGTGGCCAACCGTTGCACATGTTGGTGATTCCATACTTGTCCTTCCAGACATGATCTATCGCTGCGAGTGATGCGGTCGAAGAAGTCACCACGCCAAAAGCCTGGCTCTAGGTGAGCAAAAACGGACGGCTTCCAAATCCTCAACGTCTCCCAGAGGTGTCTCATATTGACTGTGGCAATGCGTTGCTTCCTGTCGTGAAGAAGTGCAAGCTTGGACGTCGTGTTGGGCAAGACCGGGGTCAGGACGATATTTTGTGATTTCCCATCTTGCCCGCCGTTTTGGGATTCGTGAATGCGTTCCCGGGTGAACGGCTCTTGATCCTCACGCGCCGAATCGGTGCCAATGAGTAAAACGCATTCACCTTTGCTTCGACGCTGAGCTAGTAGCCTGTGAAGACAGTTCAGAAACGAGCGACCCAAATCTAAACTCTGGATGGCTCTAAAGTCTCTGACGTGAACAATCGCGCCATTCTTAGGGACACCACTTCGTTTCGCTGTAGTTTCTCGTTGCCGTTCCAGATCATCACCCTGTTCTCTCCCAAGAGTACCCGTGGCGGATCGCCGGTCCGACAAGCTCTTTAGCAGTTTGTATGTGAGTCCAGATAGCGCGCCTTGCTCATCCCGTGGCTTCTGAGAGTCAGCAAAATCCGGCCACATTCTCAGCGTCCCTCGCGGCATGTCTGATCGCATGCCATCCCCGAAATCTGGAAGCTGTCCGATAATAGTCTTCAAGATAGCGGTAGGCCTTCCGATAAACATGGGCATACCTATCTGAGGAGAAGAAGGTGTGGAATCAAGGTCGTCCATCATGTCGTCGATGTCTCCATCGTCGTCGTCTACGTCTTGCGCCTCGTGGGAGGCACTGTGTTCGGAGAGGTCTGGAAATGCGTGTGCAAGCACGTCGTAGCTAAGCATTCGGCCCGCCTTTGCTGTGGCTGGGTTTGTATGATTCCGGTGAAGGAGGTCTGCGATATCCTGCGCGTCCACGACCATCAGATCACAGCCGAGTTGGCGTGCAACATCCTGGACAAGGTGGTCAAGAAGCAGATCGCCGTCCTTGCCAGCATATTGTAGATGGAGATGATCTCTGTAGGACTCGGCGCTATTTGGCGGATTCTTTGTTTGTGATATTTGCATGAGACCTCTTGCAGTTCGCATAACCTCTTCATATTGTTCATCCACCACATAGTACCTCGAAGATATTGAGGAGCTCGACGTAGATTCCGCAGGGGATGTGGTGTCAGGTTGCTCCAATCTATCCTCTGTCTGTGAGGGAGCCCCATGCGAGTTTTGAATAGAACTGGGGTCACTGCCTTTACCCCCTGAGCCATGTGAAGGGTCACTGCCAGAGTCTGGGGAGGAAGTTTGTTCAAGAGGCTCGCCGGTCAGCAGATCTGCGGCTACTGTTTTAATCCTCGAGGGAGTGCCAGGTACGAGGGACCCTGACCCAAAGAGGGCCACATTGCTGTCCATAAACCAATCCGGAGCTTGGTATTCCGCCTCTCCATCTTTGTTCATGCGATTCCGCAGCCTTCTTTTCGCGGGTGAGCCGTAGAAATCTTTCGCTCGAGCATCGTCCGCAGTTTGGCTCGTGCGGCTCTCATGAGGGCCAGATTGACGTTGATGGGTGGGGTCTGAGTCCTCCTCGACAGCGTCACAATCTCTTGCTACCTCCACTCGAGCAGCTCCATGGGTCTTTGAGTCATCACTGATCCCGCGGCTGCTGAGAGAGCCAAAGCTGTTTGTCGGTTTTTGAGCAGTCCGAACGCGAGGCGCAGTGCAAAACGAGCGGTTTGCTCTCCGCGATTGGCGCTGGGCGCAATTTCGACAACTTGAGCAAATGATCCGCGTGAACCGTAGTTCCGCCTGGAGAGTAGAATGCATTCGAGCGAGCGACGAGAAGGGGCGTACCACGAGGGCAAGGGAGAATTGACCGTTGAAAACATTCAAATTATGGCGACAGGTCCGGACAAAACTAATACTCCGCCGTATTTGCACTAAGTTCCTCATTGCTCCGCCGGATATTTTTGACTCTTAATTTCTGTGGCAAACAAAGTCTGAGTCTTCTTTGTTCCTCCAGAATACAAGGATGGCGCCGACTATATGCGAGATCTGTGAAGCCTCGCGAGCAGCAGTCATCCGACCAAAGAACTCCCAGAAGATCTGCAAACAATGCTTTCTGTCTGTATTCGAGGCCGAAGTTCACGACACCATCGTGAGTAACAAACTGTTCCATCGTGGCGAACGTGTTGCCATCGGCGCATCTGGTGGCAAGGACTCGACAGTTCTCGCTTCGGTGCTAAAGACTCTGAATGAACGTTACGACTACGGCGTCGATCTCGTCCTCTTGTCCATCGACGAAGGTATTAAGGGTTACCGAGATGACAGCCTTGAGACGGTCAAGCGGAACGCCGTGCAGTACGAAATGCCCCTCGAAATTGTTGGATATGACCAGCTGTATGGATGGACAATGGACCAAGTCGTGGCCCAGGTAGGCAAGAAGGGAAACTGCACCTACTGCGGGGTATTTCGCAGACAAGCCCTGGATCGAGGGGCCGCAAAGTTGGGCATCAAACACGTCGTAACCGGTCACAACGCTGACGATGTTGCTGAAACCGTCATGATGAATCTACTTCGTGGCGACCTTCCTCGACTTGCAAGAGCGACTTCTATTATGACATCCTCCTCGGCGAGTGAGATCAAAAGGAGCAAGCCACTAAAGTATGCCTATGAGAAGGAAATTGTTCTCTATGCTTACCACAAGAAATTGGATTACTTCAGCACCGAGTGCATTTACTCACCAGAGGCCTTCAGAGGGAGCGCGAGGACCTTGATCAAAGACTTGGAGAAGATTCGACCCAGTAGCATACTGGATATTGTTAGGAGTGGAGAGGACATGGCTTCGCTGGTGCCCCCTGAACTGGCAAGTTCTACGTCTTGTGCTGCTGAAGGCGATGAGCAGGCAAATGGCTGTGGCAATCAAAACCAGACCAGCGACTCCATGGTCCGATTGGAGAAGGACCTGACCGCGAACGAAGCCGCTGCAGAACGTGAAACAGAGATTCGACTCCCTCAGCAAGGAGTGCAACCAGGTATCCACGACAAGAAACGGCGAGGACGTCGGAAAGTGGTCAAACAAGTCATGGGTCAATGTGAGAGATGTGGTTATCTTTCCAGCCAACAGATTTGCAAGGCTTGCTCTCTGCTGGAAGGGCTTAACAAGAGCCGACCGCACACTACCATCGAGGTGGGCATCGAAGAAGAAGAGGGAAGTACGACATTGATGAGGCAGACTGCCGGACTTGTTATCTCTGCTGGTTGAGACTCAGGCGGTTTTTCGTCTTGAGGCAATCCGTTTGTCGATCACTGCAGCCATCCTCAAACAGGCTCTTTCTACCAGCAACACCATTATCTGCACGAGGAGAATGACCAACCTGAGCAAATAATTCTTCAAGGTCAGCATGGGTTTGTTAGCCCCGGACAATGTTGGATCCACGAAGTCGAAAGGCAGATTTGCCCCCAGATGACCGACGGCGACAGACAAGCCGCTACTGAAGCCGTCTTCATGGAAGCCACACTTGGTCCAGGCTCCGCAGTAACTAATGCCCTTGGTGTTTTGAATCTTGGACAACAGTTTCTGCGACTTGATTGCAGCCGCATCATACAAGGGAAGCGAATATTCCCATATGCCCTGGGCCAGTCGAGGATCGGGCATGTGTAAGGGATTTAGTGTGATCAGAATAGGGCCCAACTGACTCTCTGGCAGTTCTTGGAGTACATTCATCCAGTATGTCAGACAGCCTCTGGAAACGTTCTTGCTTCTGGTAGGCGGGAATAGGGACTCGGAGACAAAGTTCAACGATGACCATGCTTGTCGTCTCTTTGGCATCAGCGTGAGATCCGAGTGCAATACGGCAACGACCCTATCTGTCCGGAAACCCTTCAAGATGTCAGATTCTTCCCTGGATATGATCGGCTGCAACATTTCCAGGGCCTGTTCACACTGTGTCGCGACTATCACGTGGTCAAATCCATGGTCTTTCCCATTTGCCCTCAACACGACAATGCCATTTTCACCTGGCGTCAGTGAGGTGACTTTCGAGTCGAGATGGATCCGATTGTCCGGGACATCTTTCACCACTGCTTCGATATACCGCCCACTTCCACCAGGGATGGTCCACCAATTTGAGGATTTGGGAGTCATATTCAGCATGTGTTGATTGTACATGGATCGCACCACCGTGACTGCGGGGAGTTCCAATATACAACGAACGAGGTTCGTGCCCAATATAGCAGCCACCATTGGAATGAGATAGTTATCACGGAACCCTTGAGAGTAATTCTCGCGGTCGAGATATTCACCGATCCTTTCTTGGGACCGACGTTGGATCCTTTTTTGCTGGATTTCCTGGATGATGGATTCGTCCTCCCCGTCGTCATCTTGGAGAAGATCGAGTGCGAACTCTTTGAATCGGATGACCTCAAACACCAACTTCCACGTGTCAGGGCAGAAGATATTTCTCCTCTGGGCAAAGACGGACGACCACGAAGTCCATGCCCACTCGAAGGCGCCTTGATCGCGGGAGACGCCAAAAGTCACGGCGGTCTTCTTCACCGGGACACCCAACTCCTGGAGGAATCGGACAAAGTTAGGGGAGGTGGCGTTGTTGTTGATGGCAAGCAAGCCGGCATCAACTTGGATCGTCTGACCGTTGGGTCCCTCGTAGGAAATGCATTTCGTATGTCCGCCTAGTCGCGACGTGGCTTCGAAGAGATGGACTTCATGACTTGTGCTGGTGTTGAGCGCCCACAAAGCGCCCAGGCCTGAGCAGCCGCTGCCCACGATGGCAACACGCTTACTCATGGCCTGTGAGATACAAGAAGTCTCGGTTCAATGGTCCTCTGTAAAATGTCGGCGTGGGGCGTGTGGCCTGACTGCTTCGCATAGCTAGTTCATAGTTCAACCGTCTAGCATCACAGCAAATCCTGTGATGTCGACGCTCAACGTTCATGTGTCTGTGACATCGATAGCTTGAGCGTCAAGGGTCGTCACTAGAAGCTGAGTCTTTCAGCCTCAAATGTTTCTGTCAAAGTCAAATCCAACTCGTGGTTGGGGTTCCATCAGCCATGTACCGAGTACGAGGAATGTACGAGCTATTACGTTGCAAGCATCTGAGGTACAAAAGCGGCGTCAAGGATTTCCGAAATGGGACCGGGCTCTACATGTCGCTCCATAAAGCATACCACAAACCTAGTATTGTACATTCAACTATGATACACAGGCATCTCTAGCCCTCAATTCCATAGAACCAGAGTCACAAGCGTCACATAGGAACGACCTTCCACGGATCCGCCACGAATTCCAGGGCTGTCTCTCTCAGATGCCACGGGTTAACATACACCTGCAGTCCAATCCTGCTGGAGAACAGGTTGAATACTCTCATGATCAGGTACAGATCTCGCGGGGCCGTCGTCGAGTCATTTGGACAGGCTTTGTCTCGCATGAGCCTGTACTGATTGCTGCTCATGAAGAACGGAGTGTTGCAGGGCCCGGACGTGGTCTTGACTTCGATGTGATAATTCACCACCGGTCTCGACATCGACGTCTCGCCGGACTCATGCCCAAGCCAGGCGGGATAGGGGAATGTCGTGTTGTCTCCAAGAAACTCCATCAGCCGCGGACAGTTGCCTTCGTACATTACATCCGAGATTTCGCGGCCGTGCCATGCTGGTTCATCTGCGTATTCGGGGAGAATGTTCACGTAGTGACGAATTGAGCTCTGCCAATTGTCGATGCTGAAGTTTGTGACTCCGCAGGACTTGAGGAGTTCAAACACCTAATTCAGTCCAAGTCAGCTGCTATTCATATCTAAGGATACTTCTCCAGACTTACATATAGTTCTCCCGCCGCGCCCACCCGTGCATTTTCTTCAAATCTACCGTTGCCCGTATCACCAAATGTTCGGTAGAACGCTGCGTAGTCAGCTGGTGGGTAGCCAAGTTCATCTAGAGCTTCGTCAATTTCATCTAGCGATAGTGATTCTCCTCTCCTTTGATGAGATCGCCCCCCTCGTCTTGCCTGGCGGATCACTTCTCGTAAGAGTCTTTTGTACTGTTGATCTCGTGCCACCTCCTCCCAAATCGTATGCTGAGAATCAGTCGACTGAGCGTGGACTAAAGGAGGAATGCTGCTCTCAACTTGAGAATATGGTGCTGTACTCCTTTGATCGACCCGGGTCACGACCATATCGTCGTCGTCGTCGCCGCCGCCGCCGTCATCGTCGTCCTGGTCAGAGGATGCCTCCGTTGGCGATGCAGGCGTTGGCATACTGCTGCTGTTAGGTTCTGCATCACCGAGAGCTGGAAATGGCACTGTCTGTAGCGATGACGCAGGCTTTTCAAACCAGGGGTACTCCGGTAGGTCCTCATCCTTCATGATAGCATCCAAATCTTCCTTGGTATCATTCAAGATACGATAGATGACCTTAACTGCCCGTTCATTATCGATGGAAAGTACTTTTGCAAGTTCTTGAGGAAGCTCTGTGTGGAAGCAAGAATAAAGGCTATCATAGTCGCTTGGGACATAGATCGTCAGCTTTCCATCAAGGAAGTGGATATCGACCACGGCTCGATCACTCTGAACAGTGACTGAGCCATATTTCTCTGGTAGCACGAGCTCTGTCCACATCTCTTCGCAGACGAATACTTCGGCAGCCAGCAGTGAATCATACATCGTCGTTTTCCGGTTGTAATATTCTGAGCTATTGTAGTAGTTTGCACAGCTGCTGAACAGTCAGGAAATTCTTTTCTTTCCGATCGTAAGGCATTGGAAACTCACCATGACAAGGCGTATGCTCGGTCTCTGATATAGTGTTCAAGAGCTTGATGGGCAGTTGACTTGCCCACGGTCGTTTTTGACTTCGCTAGGCTTGAGAGAAAGCGATCCTCTAGATCCAGCAATTCGAACAACGGATACAACGAAGTCATCTCTTCGTGACCAAAGTCAAGGATCTTTGCTTTGTTTTCGAAGAGCTGGCCATATCTCTGATGGTCATTAATGGTGAATGCTTGATCCACGGAAAATAGTTCCAACCCGTCGGGGCCACGGACAGGTAGAAAGTCCGTTTTCTCCAAAGTTGTCAGCTGCTCCTCGCTGACCTCTACCTCAGGATCCGAGGATAGCAATTCGCCAATAGTATGTATGATACGCTTGATCTCGTCAACGTCGGGGGAAGTCTTCTTCGCCGTTCTTCCGAGCTCCTGTAAAAGAACGTTGATGCTCATAGTCCTGACTTTCATCTTGTCGACAAAGAATTTTTTAAGCCCAGGGTATACGTGGTCCAGTGGCAGACGCCCGGAGATGGCGACAGTACAGTTCCACAAGCACTCTGAAGGCTTCAGCCACTTTTGACCAACATAAATCAGACCATTACCATTGAACTCTTGCCTAGGACTGCTGTCAGAGAAATTGGTCTCTTTTGGAGGGACGACCTTACCGAATGGCCTCGATCACAGGCTCAGAGCTTGCCATTGCATTTAGAGCTGCATAGACTTCTGGCGCCTCGCTCTCGATTGGGCGTGATCCAGCTGTTACTTTCGTTGTTAACATTTTGAGTTCGTCGATCAAGTCGTTATAGCTAACATCCCGCATTTCCAGAATAGTTTTGAAGAAACTGGAAGCAGACTGATTGGCTTCGTACAACGGACTCAATACCTGCTTCGCTTGGAGAAAGCTTGGACCTTCCCAAATACAGTCAGTTGATCTGTACCAGGCTTCCTCGGTTGTCTTCGAGCGGATCAAACGTCGCGTCGCAAATTCTTGCTGCTCCGAGTCAATAGATATCTCTGCATGAGGACAAGACATACCTGTACAGCTTTGGCGTCTCCGACTGCCGTCGTTTGAGCAATGCCGCTGTATATCTTCTCACACGTCGGTAGTAGTCGGCCCTCTCCGAGATCAGCTAATAGGGATATAGCTCTCAAGTAAAAATTAGTATTGACTTCACAGATCACTCCAAGTTCTTTCAAAAAGAACCAAGCCTCGGATTGTTGGGCATCAAAATCCCCAGGTAGTTTTAGGAATGGTAAGAGACTGGTTAGGCTGGGATCTCGGCTTCTATCCATCAATTCTTGTGTAGGTAGAATAGTGTCGCAAAGCCTGTGTGTGCAGTCATCCAGACATGGTACCCGAACATTCTTCAGTGTGTTCTTGATTCTGGAGGCATCAACACGGTAATCAGACCAATGTGCTTTGAGATTTGCGACAAAGCTGTTGGGGTTGTCTCGAGCGATCAGCTTCATCAAAGGATGGAGTTTCCATCCAGCGGACACTTCGCGTACCAGATCAGGGAAGTATTTGACCCCCGAACTCTGAAGGTAGGATCTCCAGTCTAAACCATGGCGGATGTGATTGGAAACTTGAGATTCCAGGTATTGTCTAGCAAGAATTCCGTAACGACATTCATGCAAATCCTCCTCCGGAGTTGCAGCAAGTAGTTTCTCTGCGTGATAGTTGTCTCCCGAAGGAAAGAATAAGTATGATCCGGGAAGTGGCTTGTTTTTATCGCTCACAAGTGACAGACGATTCTCACTCCACGTTGACAGGGACGGTCGCTTTCCAAACCAAAAGAGGATTTCGAGATCTGTTTTGAACGTGAAGAACGTTCCGGTTCTCCTTAATAACTGGTGCGTCTCGATGATCCTCGCTGTTACAGCATCAGGGTCGCACGAGGTAATTCCGAGACTTGTGTAGAAGCTCGCACGCTTTCCATCTGCAGTGGCCGTCTCGTGAAGTTTCTGAAACCCAAGACCATCAGGTACCTTTATCGACACCGAGTCTTCGTCGACCAGATATGGTAGATACACAGGATCCACAAGCAAGGACGAGGGTGAAACCCATTCATTGTCATCCAATGGAATGATTCTTAACTCCTCAATATTCTTCTTGATTCTTTTTCTGTTAAGGAGCCGTTGTATGAGAGCAGCAAAGGCTGTGTGCCACGAGTCATCCAGTGGTATGTCATGTATTGGGCGTTCCGCGCTTCGTGAAAGACCAAGTTGTATTCTCGCCAAAACTTCTCGAGGCAAGATTTCCGCCACCCCAAATTCTTCCAGGATTCTTACATCGATTGTTTCGTAATCGTCCGATAAGTAGATATCATCGTCCGAGTCCGCCACAATTGGCTCGTTGTCGTGGATGAACCAGTGGGGAAGAACTCTTATGCGTTCCATGCTGCGAAGATTATTCCGTCGTGACCGGAAAATGCGTCTCTTCCTAGACCGGAGCCCGTTCTCAATGTCAGACAACAAATCTTCCCAGAAACCTTGCATAGGGCCCCGGGGGAGATAGCGCATCCACGTAAGCTCCAGAGGGTCACTAGAAGTAACAATTTTGTTCACCAAACCGATAAACGCAGAAGAGACACCGTCTCGCAATGCATCATTCCAATCTGTATCGGGAACACTCTCACGATTAGCCGTGAGGACAAAATCCGCATTTATAAGAAACTGGATCAGTTAGCTTCGTACGGCGAAAGTTGTCAAAGACACATACAGGAAGCTGCATAATCCGCTGTACTGGAAGATAAGCGAATACATGCTGCCCGTCGGCGGGAATGACGGGCAGGCCATTTGAATCCACCTCAAATGCGACGGTCACATCGCTCTCAGAGCTTGTACGATGTGTGTCAGAAGGGAGGTCGCTGACTGTGTGTTGAAACAGCTTGAGCCATGTTGTCGCTGACGTATGGGCACCAAAATTCCCGGTCACGGTGGTGTTGATGCGTATTTCGTTAGATCTCAAATGTCCATCTTTCTCGAAAGTTATTTGGTCTGATCGTCCAGCAACGCCATCCACGACGACGATCAACTTCTTCAGCTTGCGTAGCGCGAACATGATTGTTCTGGGTAGTTTTTCAAACTCAGACACGAGGCGTTTGGCGAAGATGTCGCGCTGGTCAGAGTACCGAAGTGTCAACCTCGTCCCGACATTTGAAGGTAGACGAGACGTAACATCAGTCCACACTGGAGTGATCATTCCTACGCCCTCTTCGCCTTGACTATGCTCAAACCTGAAAGACCAGAGCCCGGATTGGATGTGGACGTAGTCAGCAATGCCGAACACCGATTTGAAACCCAGGCCTTTCTCCCCAGTAGTATCGGCATTTCTGGCTTTGGAGCTTTTACCAGTATCGCAAATAGATTCAACATTCTCGAGTGTGAATCCCCGCTCATTGGACTCGATGATCAGCTCGGAGGGCTTGATCCGAAATGTGATAGAGGGCTCGACATCATTCGCGTAACAGGAGTCGTCTCCATTTTGGAGCAATTCGTAAATAAGCCTGAATCTGGTCGAGTAGAGCTGCTCGGCGACGCTGCTGTTATTAGCAACCAGGATTTTGAACAGAGGGAAGAAACCGACGTTCTAGTATATCGGGCGTATAAGGCTCTGTGCTCGGCAGCTCTTCGACGGTAGTCTTCTTGAAAGCTCGAATCTGTCTTGCGAATTTGCCTTTCGTCGTACTCGTCGATGATACCCCGATCTCTGCGGATTCTATCAATCTCATCTCTAGCTGCGGCAACATTCAGGGGGCGACCGTTTCTGCTGAAGCCAAGTTTTGGCATGTTTCTTGTGGCAGAGTAGTGAAGGCGCAGCGACTGATGAGTCCAGAAAGATTCGAAGACACGATTGATCTACTTAACACCTCACACGAAAGAGTCCATGTCAGCAACCAGGTACATACCAAATACTCACCCCGGCATGTGCAAGAGTTGGCCGGTCACACACGCCATTGTTTGAGATAAGCGCTGTACTTGCACTCGACTTGATGTGGCGTCTCGCTACCACAAACGTGAAGCGCTTTTGCCCCAATTGAACCCTGCTGGGCAAGTCCTAGGTTGCATTATGTACCTCGTACGATAAAAAGAAGGGCGTTGTTCGAGTTGGCAGTGATTCTAACTCCACGTGGTATACCTCGTACTCGGTACACATGTCCTTTTACAAGCTAGCACTGCAGTAGCATTCCTCAGAATATGCGAAGTAAACTTTCTGCGCCTCAGGGGGTTGAAACAGTGGCTGTTTACAATGCTGTAGCCCCTGAATATAGCCCACAAACGTTAACGTTGACCGGGGCAGTCATGGCCCGCGAGAACTCAACTAGCGTCTGAGCATATGAGGATGAGATCATCACGTATGAGGATGAAATTTCGCAGTGGTTCCCCAGTGAGAAGAGAGTTGAAGATCAAAAGTATTGCGCAAGAGAGGATGTTCAAGGAGCATGAAATAGATGGGGAAGCTTCGAGGACAGATTTAAGTTAGGCTATTGCTCGAGGGTGCAAGTTCCTGACTTCCTTCCTAGCGAGCGAGATAAGGGAGGCTGGCGGAGGCACAGGGTGCCCCCTTGTCGTCAGTCTTCGGCAAGAAGCACCGAGAGTTGCTTAGGCGGAAGCAACGGCGACCTGCACTTGATAAGAGTCGAGGAATCTAGGCGCCAAAAGCGGCGTCGGGAATTTCCAAAACAGGACCGGGATGTGAGTGTCTGTCCTTCAGCCGACGTCAACTGCGGACACATCCCCAAAGGCACTACCGTAACGTCCTCAGTTACACTCCACGATCTGATATCGCCGCCTCACCGGATTATCCTTCTCACCTCTGGCACCGAAAGACAGAACACTACTCTCGTGCCTGCGGACGGCCTCCCTAGCACGCCGATTTTCCAACCTCGCCCATCCCCTCTCTTCCAACCCGCCTCCTCTGACAAAGTCCTACAACTAGTCCCTGAGTTATACCCTCGAACTGCAACTCGTTTCCAGGTCCTCACCGGCAACTCGCAACAATGGCGAACCCACTCGACACCGATGCGGGCTCTGAACTTTTTAGCACCTACGAAGCCGAGTTGAAACTCGTCCAGGCAGACGTGAATCAGAAGTTGGACCAAATCCCCGAACTCGCGGGGGAGGAGAGAAAGGTTGCGATACGAGCCGCGGAGAGGGCTCTTGATGAGGCCAAGGAGTTGGTATGTTTCGCTCCTCCCGCTGTTGTGGAAAGTGATGCGGGCTGGACTCTTCTGACGTCCTTGCGAATGTAGCTTGACCAGATGAACCTGGAGAAATCCAACATCCCGACCTCCCAGCGGAGCAAAGTGAACTCGCGCTTCCGCAACCACCAGTCCGATATCGACACCCTGGCACGGAAACTGAAATCGCTCGCCGAATCTGAGCGGAAACAACTCTTCGGCGACAGGTACACAGACGACCCAGAAGGAGGCCCCAGAGATGCGCAGCTTGAACAGCGCCAGCAGCTCCTCTCGGGCACAGAGCGACTGGGACGGAGTTCCGACCGGTTAAGAGAGTCACAACGGATAGCGCTCGAGACGGAGCAGATTGGAGCTTCCACACTGGCAGATCTACACCAACAGAGGAATGTGATTGAGAACACACACAGAAATCTATTGCAGAGCGAAGGCTACGTGGATCGAAGTGTGAAGACGCTTCGTGGGATGGCGCGCAGGTAAGAATCTCTCTCCATTTTGACGACGCGACTTAAGCCGAGTGTGAGCTGACATTATGTGCTTTGATTTTGGTGAATCCCAACAGAATGGCTACAAACCGCGTGATTACCATCGCGATCATTACAGTGCTAGTGCTGCTTATCATTGGTGTAATATACAGCAAGTTCAAGTGAGCGGTTGAGCTTGTTGAGCGATTGGACGAAGTCGACCCGTGGATAATGGACAGTCTGGATCGGGCTTTATCCAGACTGTTGTGCATATGAATTGATGTTGCAGGCGTTTCACAAGGTGTTTCCTGTTTGGATGGGCCGCTTTGTTATAGAAGCCCTTTGTATCAGATCAGAGGAAAGTCTCGAATGGGGTTGTCATTTCGGGTTTCCACAAATTATACCTCGTACAGTATGCTCTACCAGGGTGACAAGATGTCTAAACACGTCGATCTTTTCGTGATACACGAGACCCGCCTCGACCCTACAAGAAAACAAGATGAAAATTTCAACCTGTATACTTGATAATGCCCAGTCCAATGTTCAACAAAAACCCCACGATGACGGCCATTTTGCGGCGCTGGCTCCAGATACCCTCCTCACGCACCCCCCACACCAGACAGCCGACGGGCCAGAAGAAGCCCATGGCGGTGCCCCAGATGATGTCGTCGAGGGCGCCGGCCTGGATGTCGTCGTCGCCGCCGATCCCCGCGGCAGAGCCTGCTGCGGTGTCGGGGCCCAGGTCGGCGTTCGCGCCCGTCGTGGAGTTGTCGAGCCACCGGTCTTCCATGTTCCGCAGCGTGTTGGGTGACGGCATCGTGTCGGGCGTGTGCGTGTGCGCCTGAATTGCGAGGAACTGGAGCCGGAGGGACTGTACCTCGGTGGCGCTGAAGCCGGCGTTGAGGAGACGGTCGAAGCCGCGGGGCGCGGGCGTCGTTGTCGTCTGCTGCTGCTGCTGCGCTGCGTTGGTGGCCGCTGTGGTGTCCTCGTCTTGGTCCTCGCTCGCTTTGGCGGATGCCGCAATCGCCGCTTCAGCTGCCAACTCCGCAGCGGAGAGTACAATGTCGCCTATTGAGCAGTGTATGTAGATTCTCGCCTGCGCCGGCGGATCCCGCACGGGTTGCTTGCCCTTGTTTCCAAGTTCCAGTCTCCTCTCACCGCCAGAATTCCCGGCCGCGACAGAGCCATTAGATCTCTCGTCGTACGGACCCGGCGTGCCGATCCGACTCGGCGGCCTGGAGACGTTCCTCTTCAGCGACGCCGCAAGCGGGACATCGTCGACAAGGGCCTTGCCCGCATGGATCAGCCGGATGCGGTGTTTGGCGTAGGCGTCAGGGATGCGCGACCGGATCAGCTGCTTCAGCGTGGCCGTGTTGGCATTGAGGGAGGCGGGAATTGACAGGAGCAGGTCCGGCAGGGATGCGGAGAAGCGGATCGTGATCTCATAGTCGTAGTCTTCCTGCTGCTGCTGCTGGTGGTCGTCTCGTGGATGTTGGTGGTGTCGTGACGGGACGGAGAGGAGGGGTGGTTTTAGGGACATATGGGCGGCGGTGCAGATGCGTTTCTGCCGTGGCGGCCCAGTGCGGGCATGCTGTACAATCAGCAGCTCTATGAAGGTTGGTGCATGGCAGAAGAGGTTCTTGGGACTTGGGCCGGCCAGGGGTTGTGGGATGTGGCTGCTGGTCGATATCAGAAGTGAAATGTTGGAGATGCGGACTGCGGAGCGAAGTCACGCATGGACTAGGCAACGTCTCCACGGCGAACCAGTGGATCAACGGGCATCTTTTCCCGCGCTGGTGATGTCGAGCAGCAGCCCATTCTCTATCGCCAACGACTACACATCTGCAAGATGGAATAGATCTGACACGGGTATGGACGAAATGATGCCCACAAATGGGCTCCTCGAACATCTGTGTCCGTATATTTCTACTGCCCTGCCACCAAAGGAATACAGATATTAATTCTATGCAACAGCAACGGCCTGTGGTGTCTGACTCTGCAATTCGCGCTCTTTGAGTCTTCTCTTCTCTTCCTCCAGCATCCTGGCTTGACGCCTCACTCGCTCCGGCACGACAGCGTCCCTCTTCCCTTGAATTTTCCACCCTCGCAGCTTGTCTTGTCCTCCGATCTCCTTGATCGTCTTGAGCTCGACAAGACTGTATTGGCTCTCGTCCTCGCGGTCGAACTCGAAGGGCTGGACCAGCGAGACCGGCGGGTTGGTGATGATCCGGGGTAAGCGGCGTCCGTTCTTGGAAGCCGAGTGTAGCATCAGGGGATGCAGCAGGATGACATCGCCAACCGAACCTGTCATCTCGTGGAAAGAGGCGTCATCGCAGCCCTGTACGAGATTGTTGTAGAACTCCAGGCCGTCTTCAAAATTCTCCGTCGCTCCGATTGGCGTCATTCGTGGAAGGACGCCCTTGGGATGATCATACAGCCACTTCCCTATCTTGGGGATCCCTTCGGAGCAAATCCAGGTTCCGCCGCCGTTGGGCAGAATATCTGTGAACAGAGGGATGACAAGCAGACCCTGCTCTGGAGAATCTAGGAAATGTACAAAGAAGTCTCCATCCACATGCCACCCGGGTAACTCTTTGGGATGTGCTTCCTTGCCCTCGTGCTCTTTTGTCCCCAGGTTGACGATGAAACTGTCCCTCCACGACTTGGATTCCTCAGTGATGCGCTCTTCCCCTCCAACTAACTCGCAGATGGCGTCGTATGCTTTGGGCGCGAAATCCTTGACCAATACTTCTCCGTGACCCGGCATGTTGGTCCTTTCAGTCGTCCAGGTGTCGGGGTTTTTAGGGTCAAAGCCCAGTCTCACCCAGACATCCTTTGTCCATTCCTCAGCAGCTTCGCGAGTGAAACAGCCTGGAATGCGCAGATAACCATACTTCATGAAACAGTCGACTTGCTCAGAAGTCAGATGCCGAAACTTTCTGCCTTCCATCGTTACTTTCGAGTCAGTCAATTTAGGGGGAAAAGACGTAGGTGCCTCTCTTGAGATATCAAAATCTTGTGCCCTGTTCAGCCTTAATACTCGACTTTCGACGTTATAAGCAGCGGCAATACCACAGGACGACCGCTACACGGGATCTTGCAACCCTAATGTTTTTCACCAATGACATGCGATTGTATTTAGCCGGAATGTTCCCTACCCAAACCTCAGATGATAGCACGGCTGCCAGGTTCAGAACACCGAGCGGACAGTCACCCGGGAAGTCGTAGAGGAAGTGCCGCTCTCCTCTCCTTTCCTTGTTGGCTCACAGCGAGATATGGGGTATGGGGCTGGCGGGTTTGGCCCACGGGTGCGAGGACCTGCCCGGCAGCGGGGCATTTGTGGCAGTTTTTACACGACATATCTGTTGCGGGGTCTCTTGATATCCTCGTGGGAGGCGAGAGGAGCTGAACTCCCAAGAAAATGGGTTAGAAGTTCCTTTTGAGTCTGCCGGAGGTCATCGAGAACAAACAACCAGTCATACTCCCAAGTCACTAAGCAGCACATCTTGTAACTGCGAATTATTGCAAAGGAAGAATGGACCCTGGATCTGGCACTTCAGTTTCCCATCTGGGCAATCGACAGTCAATATTCAAAGCAACTCACCAAATCATCTCGTCGGGGCTACATCGGAATCATTCTCTTCACAATAGCTCGCCCGCGACTGACTCGTATCAACATATGCTTTGCACCAGCAAACCGTGTAAAATGGCAGCAGGGTGGGATCGATATCTTCCGCCACTAGCTCAACCGCAAATAACACAACTAGCTGCGCTGTGCTTACCGCCTGGCCCCCGAAGCTTTTACAAGCTTGGGTTGACGAGCGAATGAGGCGTGCTTGACTTCAGACCCCAGGATCCAGTTTGGGGTAATAAACTATCCCACAACGACTCCATGGAGTGATCGACGGGTTGGAGATGGTCGAACCTGGGACAGGGCGTTCTCCTATTAGCCTAAAGAAGGCTGAATTGAGGTACCTGCAGCTCTTTCAATAACCCCCCCGGCATATGGAGTTTGGCGATCTCCTGATTCGACAAAGGCATCGCGAATAATACAGCCGAACGGCATGGTGCTGCTTGCTACCCGCCTATACCAAGGCCCTCGGCAGTACATTTCGATATGGCGAACTGAGGACATATATGCTGGCGTGGAAGTGACCCCCAGAAATCTGGAAACCCGGACAGTCTTCTACTCCATTGCTGAAGTATTGCAGACTCCACAAAGTGCATATCTTTCAAAATGGTCGGTATCGCGGTCGTGCAGCCTATGCACAAGACGGAGCGACAAGTAGCCATTGCTGAGGCTCCTGCGCTTCGAAGGGTCATTTGGTACAAGGACCCAGGTCTGAGGAAGCTCTATGGCATGGCCATTGCGCTGTTCTTTGCCTCGGCGACGACAGGATATGACGGGTCTGTCTCCCGTCCAAGCTTTCTGTCTCACTGCTCACACTCGCCAGGTCGATGTTGAACGGCCTCCAAATCCTCGACGTCTGGCAAGACTACTTCAACCATCCCACTGGGTCGATTCTCGGTCTCTTTGGGTCGATATATAGCATTGGAAGTCTCGCAGGGCTCCCGTTTGCGTAGGTTGACCTCTTGTGAACGAAGACTGCTGCTGATCACACCGTCAGGCCATATCTGTGCGACATCTATGGCCGACGCATCGCCATCATGGCTGGCTGCGTTTTCCTTTTCGCCGGCGTCGCTATTCAAAGTGCCTCCCAAAACTTTTCCATGTTCATCGCCGGCCGCTTCTTTGTTGGATTTGGCAATAGCATGTGCTCCAACTCGGCTCCTCTCCTTCTGACTGAACTGTGCCACCCGCAACATCGCGGGAGAGTGACGACAGTCTACAATCAGCTTTGGGACATTGGCTCCATTGCAGCGACATGGATCACCTTTGGCACTTTTACCATCAAGAACAACTGGTCGTGGCGCATCCCGTCGATCTTTCAAGCTTTCCCAACACTCATCCTCTTTTGCTTCATCTGGATCATCCCAGAGTCACCTCGCTGGCTGATCTCCAAGGATCGCCATGCGGAAGCCCTGACAACACTGGCAAAGTACCATTCGAATGGGGACGAGATGGACCTCACAGTCCAGTTCGAGTACCGCGAAATTAGGGAGACTCTTCGCCTTGAATTCGAGTCGAAGAAGTCGAGCAGCTTCTTGGATTTCCTGCGGACCAAGGGCAACCGTTATCGACTTCTGCTTGTCGTCGCCCTTGGTCTCTTCTCCCAATGGAGCGGCAATGGGTTGACCAGCTATTACTTTGCCATTGTGATGAAGAGCATTGGTGTGACAGATAAAAACGAGCAGTTTGAGATCAACGGATCCAAGACCATTCTCTCAGTAGGTCACTTTCGATTCGAAGGTGGCTGGATCGCTGACCTGCTCATAGCTCATTGTCGGCCTCATCGCCGCAGCAGTCGTTGATCGGTTCGGCAGACGCCCACTATTCCTGACTGCGACTGCGGGTCAGTAATTTTGAGACTCCAGCTATCCTGTCTTGTGCTGATTCTCCATAACAGGTATGTTTGTCAGCTTCGTCCTCTGGACGGCCTGCTCGGCTCTATATGACCTCGACGGCAACCTCGCGGCAGGCAAGACGGTCATCTTCTTCATCTTCCTTCACGGTGTCTTCTACAACATTGCTTGGTCCGGTTTGCTGGTGGGGTACACAGTCGAGATTATGCCGTACAAACTGCGTGCAAAGGTGAGAGAACGTCCACAATCGACCTTTCTGGGGAACGACTTGTACTGACGGTGGCCCGGTAGGGTCTCATGCTCATGAACTTTTTTGTCCAAGCTGCTCTCGTGTTTAACCAGTAAGTCGACTCGGCCAATGAAAAGGGATCCCGGTTTTTCTGATTGCAATTTAGGTACATCAACCCGATCGGCCTCGCGCATCTCCAACCGCGTTGGAGGTTCTACTCAATCTATTGTGTAAGTCCACCTCTTTGTGATCGAGCATGCAGTTGATTGCTGGGATACATTTTTGCTGACGTTTGGCTGCTTTGTGCAGGGATGGCTCCTTTTTGAGGTCATTTTCGTGGCTTTCCTGTTCATCGAAACGCGCGGCGTGACGCTTGAAGAGGTGGCCAAGATCTTCGACGGCGAGGACGCAGAGGTTGCCCACGTCGACCTGGACGTTGTTGAGGAGAAGGTGCAGCACGTGCAGCAGCTCGAGGAGGTTGCCGTCACCACCATCCCGCAGCGTGTTGAAAAGGTTTAGGGCGAGGTCCAGGGCACCGTGTCTGAGATTCGAGAGGCTTAGTCGCAGAGAAGCGAAGTATGCTTTGGATGATGTCCAGCCTGGGAGACAGACACTTAGTACCACAGACATACATTGACGTGCGACCCTCTGTAGTAATGAACGAGACTCACGTGCGCGCTGCCGCGCAGGCGAGCCGTGGATGTGTGTACCTAATGCAGGTGACATTGTCTGCAAGTACAAATACCACATGGCGAACCTAATGGTGTCTTTCTGAGTGCGCAACGGATGACAAATACACGATTTTCTATCAAGTCACCACCTTAAAACCCGCAAGAGACTCTTAGATTGATCAAAGTTGAGACGCCCTCGTGCATGACCGCGGCTCATGCGGTGATTCGTTACCACAGTTGTCGCTTTAAGCCGAGACAAGGATTTGATCACCTTGGCAGCCCTCCTCAACATCGTGTGGTTCTGATCTAGAGTCTCTACCTAGAGACTCCCCACGAATCGCCCCTTCGATACCTAGCCATCTAGTCCTGAAGGTTGACCAAAAGAGAGGAAAAAAACTTCCTCTGGGAATACCAATTAACACCACTCGCGAGTAAAGCAGCACAATTTAGAAAGGGCCGATGAGGAAGAAGAAGAACCACCAGCTGGTTTCAGGTTTCTTTTTCAAGCGACGGGGCGGGTTTTACACTGGGAAAATAAGTGGTTACGAAGTTGGCAGGAAACTTTGAATGTAGATGCGGCTATAGTGCTTAAGTACGAGGTACTTACAAGTCATCGGAGAAGGTGCAAGCTGTCTTGCATATAATGCATATCTTGGGTGGAGGGTCAGGCTAGTTTCTTCATCGTTGCACTCTGTTCCTTCAATCGCAGTTTCACGAAAGTTTTGTACATTTTAGTGGTAGTTGACGATCAACAACGAAGTCGACAAGTTTGCCCATGCGTTCCGGCGTATTTCAAGTACGCCTGCTCTCTCTCTTCAAATTGTTGTTCTTTACATTTCATCTTTCTTGTTCTCGTGACATTTCTATCTTCAAGCCCTCACTAGCATTCCGTGTGTTACATGGTGAGTCACAAGTGAGATTTAGTGAGACTGTGTGCACATGCACCGTCTCCAGCATCTCCAAACTTAAGGGGCCTCAGCCTTGTGTCGGCACAGAGGATCGAAAAGGTCTTGGTAAAAATGCGGAGGTGACGAGGTGGAGGTGGAGTTGGAGGTGGCACCAAGTGGATCCGGAGGAAAACGGCGAAAACACTGCGCGAGGTTAGCATCGGTTACATGAGGTGGAGTTCGGCCTAACGAAATACGGCCACAGGGACAAGAATTGTTGGTGTTGTGGCCTGAAAAATGACATAAGACGTCGTGTAGGTAATGACGATCACTCACCCAGCACACAACGCACTCAACTCAACTCAACTCAACGCACCAAGGCTCTAACCCCATATACCAGAAACATCCCCAGATCCCACTAAACCGAAATTTTTGTGTTACCAAACGGCACACAGCTCTGCACCTATGACCATGACACCGAAACCTGGTTCACCACGCGTCACGGCGACATGTCTGTGTGGAGCCATCTCGTACGCTCTCCCAAGCGATCAGCAGCTGCCCCTGGATAGTGAATTTTGTCACTGCTCCGATTGCCGATACGCTACTGGGGCGTTGTATCTATCGTCTCCTGAGCTACCACAGCCTCCCCCTCAGAGTGTGTGGGAGCGCACAGTACCCTACGACAGCTCGGGCACACGTCGCAGGTGGTTCTGCGGCAAATGCGGGTCGCACGTATTGATTCAGGAAACAGGAGACGATGCAAGCAGATGGTGGGTTATGGGCGGTGTGCTCGAGCAGACGGGGTCTGAGTCCCATGCAAAGAACACTACTCGACCCATTCACCACATCTTCGTCACCGACACAGGAGATGGCGCTTTGGCACCGCAAATGGTCAAACTCGGAGGACGGGAGGTCGAATGCTGGGAAGGACGTCCTCACACCAGCAGACGGGTCAGCGAGGTTGAATTGAGGGAACTCTCCCTGCTCGCCGAACGCGCACCAGCCACTGAGAGCGAGACCTTGGATGCCAAATGTCACTGCGGAGGAGTCCACATCCAAATCACCCGTCCAGATTTTCAATCGTTGAAACTTCCACAGAGGTATATTCCCGAAGAGAAGACCCACTATGTTGCGGGCCTCTGTGCCTGTCGCTCATGCAGGTTGGCCATTGGAGTCTCTTTCCAACCCTGGGCGTATATTCCCCCCTCCAATATACGGCATGCCGACACAGGGGCAATTGTAAAGTTTGGTCGAGAGGCTGACGAAGAAGGCTCAAATGAGATCACCACCTTGAGGCATATTTGGTCTAGCAAGAATGCATGCAGGAGCTTCTGTGGAAGATGTGGCGCAACTGTATTCTATTGGAACAACAGTCGGCCAGAAGTGGTCGATGTGTCAGTGGGTGTCTTGAGAAGTCAGAATGGAGCGATGGCGAGAGACTGGCTGTCTTGGAGAAAGGAAGGTCCTAGTTCGAAGGATGACTGTGTGGATGAAGAATTACGGAAGGCGATTTTTCCGTCGTAGGATTCATATCGTCGTTGTTCGCTCTGATCAGCTCACCTGCTTTGGGAGGAATACATTTCAGTTTCTTCGCATCTTCCCCACGTCAGAAGGAGATTGAAACACGCTTGCAGGATGAGAACGATCATTCCAGAGACCAGACGCTTGTAGGTTCTTGCTATATCCCCTAGCCAACAAAGAAGTCAATGAGTCATCGACGGCGACAAGAGGTCTTGCCACGACGGCGAACTGCCAATGTAATAATGTTTTCTCTGGCACGAGAACACCGTGAGGAAGGCACACTGTCGGTTGACCTGGCTCAGGTATGAAGCATCGGTGGGGAGATCCTTGTGCGTACCAACCAGCACTGCTCTTGGATTTGCGTGTCGGTTCTAACGTGGATGACATCAAATTGCTTTCCAGTAGCGTAAGGCCTTGCGTCGCCGAGACAGGTCCGTAGGCAACTATGACAATATGTAGCTCAACAGAATGAAACTTCAGTACTGTAAGTAGGGACACACTGACGTGGAAAACGACACTATTTGGCTTGTTGTTAGGAACAGTGGTAGGTGCCGCGACAAAAAATGCAATGAGAGAACTCTATAGAAGAAGGCCATCGAAGTCATCATAAGGCCACAAAGAAAACCTTCCAAGGAAAGGGACCATCTGGCATTTGGTTTGGAAAATGCCGTAGGGAGCCAAGTTATCGTCCAGGGCACGAAGCCGATGTAACCACAGGATCTCCCGGTGACCCGGAGGTCATTGTTGTGTTTCTGATGGTTGAATGGTGTGATTCGATGTTCCAGGCCACGTCTGCCAGACCGTCACTTGTGGAGAGCCTAGTCCGGGTCTGTGCTTTCAATTGATCTGGACCAAGAACAGACTTTGAAAGCGAGTAACAAGCACCCATATGTCAATAGCTCATTGGAGCGCAATTTATTAGGGCCAACAGACATCTAACTCTGCTGGAATTTGTGTCTGGTCTCTTTGTTCGCGATTCCCTTCATCCCCAAATGAGTCCGCACTAAGGAGAAGTGTAGATCAGGCATGGCATTGAGCACATTAACTGCTGAACATAGAAGGTTAGCCAGTCAATCCGAAAGTAACCGTAGCGGTGCTGATTTACCTTCTGCTCCAAGAGTTTCAGAATTCCTCAGCTGGTGCCGCTTTGGTGGATATCTGTCTGTTTCCGGCGGCTCGAATTACTTTTTGCTTGGTGGCTGGACTCGACCTCCATCCCCGGACGTCTCGGTCGAAGTGAAATTATCGTTTGTCCTTGTCGAGAAACGAGTGGGAGGCCACGTCGCTTTCGTGACTGCGAATTCACAGAGACTGGGGAAAGAGCCAATCATGGTGTGGATGCTAAGCCTTCTCCAGCGCAATCCCTGATTTGCATCCTGCAGTGTAATGATGATGGGTCATATGAACCGTATTCGAGCGGACATGTGCGAGAGGATGCCTTAAGGAAAAAGAGTTCGATTGTGTTCGAGGCTGCAAGCTGTATGAGTGGGAGCTGAGGCATCATTGGGTATACAACCTTAGGAGGTAGTCACTTGCTGTTCTGTCACAATGCTAGCGGAGAGAGAGAGAAAGCTGATCGGCTCATCGACCTGGAAATTGATGCCGTAGCGGGTTCTTCGAGGATTCTATGGACAACCATACAAGGTTTCCTCTTGGTGATGTGGCCGCTGTTGGCACGATGGAAATCCGTGGACCATGTACTAAATTGCCTCATGGTGAATTCTTTGTTGCAATCTTCATTAGGTTTGCACACCTCGTTCGCTACCACCACTCTGATAGAAGTTTTCCTCGATTGAACCATCGGCGAAGTCTAGCCGTGCACTCGAGCTGAGTATTAGGAGTCTGAGCTGGCCTAGTCGTTGCGACACCACCGGGTCAGGGTCCTTAGTGCCTCTCCTTCTCTTCAACAAAATTCCCCCCCCATCGCAATCACCTTGTTACCAACCTATATAACAGACACCCCTTTCTCGCTTCGCAAATCTACTCTCTGTGTCCTTTATGGACACACCGACCTTAGTCGAGGATATGAAGTGCGTGGTGGCGTTTGCCATGGTGCGAGACTGACCGCAGTTTCACGTCTTCTCACCGATGGCCCTTGATTGGACTCGCAAACAACGAACAGCGTAGGGGGAAGAACAAGGAAGAGGGAAAGGGTATGCGTCCTCGATGGATGATAGCTGTGTGAGTACAACTCCTTCTATTGCATTCCCCTTTAACAATTGACTGAGTGACAGAAAACAAATACAATCACTATTAAAAAATCCACTTTTCCTTCCATTCCAGTTTCGATACCCCGTCCTATCCATTTCTTTCTCTAGCCTGCCTCCTCCTTTTAACCAAAATGCAGCAAATAAAAAGACCCAAGCGAGAAACATCATGCAAGAGCAATAGCAAAGTCATACGTCAGCCTTCATCATCCCTGTCTCTTCGAGTCTGAGAGAATACTCCCATCCATAAAACAACCACACCCGGCCCCCCCAGAGTCAACGACTTCTCACCGCACCCCGGGTGTTAAGTTCCGCTCTCACAAGACGATGCGACCCCTAGAGGAATCCTCCCAGTGAAGAGCTTGGATCAAATGGATCTTGCAAAGTGTCGAAATCCGGGACACGATATTGATATTGTTGTTGGCCCACGCCATTTGAAGATGCGCCTTGACTCGATTCGGTTCCCGGCGAAGTTGTGGGTACCATCTGGTCATTCAGCGTGGTGGAATACATCAACTGCCCGTCGGACGAGGACGTATAAGCCATCTGATCACCCGCCACTGTGAACTGCGGCATTGTATTTGCCGAGCTTGTGGCATAATACTGTTGGCTTTGTGCAGCAGTAGAATACCCCGCGCGGCTTTCCCCAGCATCTCTCACAGTATAGCCTGCTAGTGGAGGGTTGCTGAAATTTTGTGGCAGAATCTGTGGGAGAGGTGAGAATGAACTCGGCTGCTGTTGTTGCTGCTGATCCTGAGGAGGCGGTGGTGGCGGCGGTAGCATGAACATTTGCTGTGTCTCTTGCAACAACAATGAGCTTTGCGAAGGTGGGAGAGGCTGGTTCACTGGCTGCTGTTGCATGTCATGCAACAATGCTGTATGCTGAAGTCGATGCAGAGGTTGAGGCTGCTGCTGCTGTTGTTGTGTTATGGGCGGGGCCATGGGCAGTGGAGGGTGCTGCGGCAGGCCACCTTGCCATGGCGCCGTCATACTGTTGTGCTGAACACTCAAGCGATCTCTAATATCGACCGCATTATTCGTGTTATAAGTCGTGTTCCCGTGCTGACCCCACTGCTGCACGCCAGGTTGCGGAAATGGTTGAGGTTGTCCATACACTGAGGCTGGTACAGCTTGGCCATAACCTCCGAAGAATCCTTGGAATCCCCAGTTGGCTCTGTTTCTTTGCAATCGACGCCTGGATGGAGTGGAGTCAGTTTCGGTACGATGGTAAGCAGGACGAATATCTGGTAACGACGAGGACACGACTGTCGCCAGTGCCAAGTAAAAGGACGGGAACGTACGTCGGCTCTTTTCGAACTCTGATTTTCACACCTCCTTCACTCAACAATCTCGTCAATTCGGTAGACTGGGCCAGAGGAGCAAACTTGTTGCGGGAATAGACTGACAGCATGTGAGGATCTTCTCAGTCGCAAATACAGCTTCAAAATTGCTCACCTTCGAATGTCATACCAGCGACGCAGGCGAGCATTTGCGCAAACATGGCATCTTGGCTTTGTGACTGGTCAGCAACAGTGAGGGCGTCACAAGATCTATCCGACGTACCTGCGGCGCATTTCGAAGAGCGAGAAGCGAAGGAAAAATTTTCCTGGGCTGGTCGGAGTGAGTTCACCGAATACGAAGTATCCGTGGACTGTGAGTCTGTTAGCTGCGACAAAGACATTGCGGTGTTCAGAGAACACACGTTTTCCGTCACCCATTTTAACCACATGGAGTGACGATGTCAACGTTCCAGAAAGCGTGTCGGACCTGGTTTGCTTGTCATCCAGATTCACAAGCTCGGCCGTACAGAACAGATATGGGCTGTGGAGCCAGGATCTAGTTGCATCATCGTCGAAGACCAAAAGTTCGATCACTACAGGAGGGTCGAGGGCGACCTTGTCGTTCTGTGGCTTCTTGGCTGGTGTGACGATCAGTACCTGTGTATGTATGGAAGACGAGATGACTGACCACTAGTACGCTTTGAAATAGACAACACTTGGCCCTCACTCGGCTGCTGCTTGACCGTCATCCGATACATATCTCTGTTGGCCACCGGTTTTGTCAGCTCTGCAGCTCCCCAAGCATGTTCTTGCTGCATTTTGGAATCCCGCCTTTGCCAACAACAGACCTGGCGAGGTGGAGCCTAGACTGGACACGTTCAGTGAGAGAGGCGTCGACAAGGGCGGGTGGCCCGCGCATAAGGGCTTTGGTTGGAGCTTGAACTTGGGATTTCCGGCTTCCAGGGAAACGGGGCGCTTGGTTCAGCATATGTGCTGGATAAGAGATGACGAGATGGGCTGTAAGAAGGGAAGAATGTTGCGGGATAAGGCTGTGTCCAGGAAGGATGCTGGAAGAATATATCCAAGAGATGGTGAAGATGATGAAGGACAAGTGGAATATAGACACTTGGAAGATGGAGCAGGAGGGCCGAGTTTGTGTGTCGGACAGAATCTGGAGAAGGAAACCACGCCTGCCCTGGCAGGATTAAATGTGCGGTCGATTCCCAGGGAGAGAGGACCTGCTCTGGTCGATGATTTGCGGAAGGGAAGGTTTGATGGATTTTCGTCCCGGTTATGGATGATCACGTCCGCTGCTAAGGTTGTCTCAGACAGCGATATGACGGCTTAGGGGTCTTTCGGAGGACCTTTTCTTGAACAAGTCAAAAGTAAGACTGGGAACGTGAAGCAAATTTGCTGGGATGCTTTCGTTAGTTGCCAGCATCACACAATCAGCAAGCTGCTCCAGCTGTTCCACGACCCGGCACAATGGTTCGCGACGAAGCAAATGAGCCCGACAAAACTCTGACAGACAAATCTGCTGAAATTTGTTGAGGATCCTCCATTCAAGGTCCGACAGGTTCGCGGGCTTAGCATAGGTATCATTTCCTGGTAATGACAGTACGGGCGAGGCTAGGGTTGGTTGTAAAATTGATCAACCTTTTAAGAGCCTGCAGTGAGCGGCTGAGAGAGCATATTGGTCCTGGCAGTGTTCTGCGGAAGCGAGTGATTGCGTGAAAATTTGTTTCGCACTCTATCAGCGCACCTTTGCTCAAATTCCGATAGTCTCGTCTGTCGGCACTTGGGGATCAATTAATACAGTGAAGGATGAGAAGGCCTGATCTCAAACAACTTCTAACTGCGCAATACCGCGTCACAACTGATGCACAGATTGACTCTCAAGGGTCCTCAAAGAACCCGGAAGAAACTGCTAGGTAAAATGGTCGCTGGCACTTTGCGAGGTGTCACAACCGTGCAGACTCTTGAGGTGAATAGTGGCTCGAAGTTGGAAAGGCGTTGAGACACAGATAACGATGCTGAAAATCGAGGATCTTGTGTCAATGAGGTTCTCGAACGAGAAAGCATCGATGCTGTCTCTCGCGCGCAGGGACGAAAGGATCGAGGCTGTAGCTTGGAGACAACGCACAGGCCTGAGTATGTTCGTAAATGGTCAAACTCGAACAGCAGTGCGCCGAGGGGGAGTTGACAGATGCTGACGCTGAGTCGAGGTAAGGTATTAGAAGGGAATATTCAGAGAGACCTCGATGTGTGGTGTCGACAAGGGCAGGGAATAGGGGTGTGAGGTAGTAATGCCGTTACAGAGGCCGCTTGTCCTTAGACTCCTGGCCTTTGATGTGAAACGAATGAGGGTCGAGGCTGTAGTTCTCTGCTGTTGTTTACGACGTAATGTTGTCTGAAGTAACGAGCAGCAGGAGACTGTAAGTGCACGCACAGAAACGACTGCGCAGCCTGCAAAATCTACAACTTTCCTCCACTCCGCTCCTCCTTGTCTTATTATACACTTATCACCGCCTCAAGTGCGGTCAACGCAGGGTCAATCATATGAATTGACAGCTCGTCTCCACGCAGGTCACAACGTGTCTTTACGCATGATCAGCCCTACCCTCCCACAGCAACCGACGCCGCTCTGAGCTATTAATCCGTGTATCCTTGTCCTCGGTAGCACGAATCAGAACCTTGTCAAAAGGATGAGCTCATACCCCCTGAACCGAGATCTTGCATCCTAAGCGTCGATAGTTGCAGCTGGTCCTTTGCTGAATGGTCTTGTGCAAAGGGAAAGAAAAGCCGGCCTAGCAGCCCACAGGCTTGCTGAGAGTTGAGGATCTAACCTAAGGAGATTAGAACCTGGAAAGCAAAGAAGAAACACCAACACGGATGCTACCGGCTACGCAAGCGAGAGGGTCTTTGATTGGATTGCTGCTGCTGTTGCTACTGTTGTGGTTCAGACACCTCCAGCCAGGCAAGGAACATATCAACATCATGACTCAATAGTGCGGCATACGTTTTGATGCAGGTTTAGGGAGCTTGGAGCTTGGAAACGACTAGGGCCATCGAGAAGAGTTGACAAGCTGAGTCCTCTAGGTTCGCAAATTGGCCCACCCGATAAAGGCTCAGTGATTCAGGGCGACCCCGTGATGCGACGATGGCCAAATTGGCTTATGCCCACTTCACCAACAAAGCAAGCCTCATGGCCAATTGAACCAGGGACGAGTCAAAAAAGGGAATCAGGGGATATTTTTCTGGCCAAGAAGGCATAGGTGAGGCGCGTAAGAGGCTGCACAGGGTTCTCACCAGACGAAAGAGAGACGCCGCCGCTAGTCCAGAGAATGAGGGTCTTGTGCCCGTCACACAAAGCTGTTTTACCCATGTCTGCGTGTCTGTGCAGATGGCCCCCACCCACAGGAACCTTGCGTTGCATTGCTGTCATCCGCATTACTGGAGCCATCTGCGTGGGATGCCGATATCAATCAGAACTCTAAGGGTCAGTCACAAAGCAAATTGACTCTGTCGGAGCTGAGAACTTGATGTAAATGACACTCAAACACAACGTCAACATCCCATGTGGCCAACTACCTATGTGGTTTCACAGTGGTTGTGAAGGGACTTCATGTTCAGTGGGAACGACTCTCGTGGCGAGGACGGCTCCAGTATCTATTGGCCATTGGGAAGTCATTCCACCACCCACGCCTGCACCGCCATCTAGCCTCACGAGTGTATTCGACGCTGTGTCCTCAGCAGTCCACAATGTCGGTGGTGGCTCACAAGAAAAACAATATCCAGCATTGATCATGATGCATAAGAGGACATCCACAAACCAATCCCCAGTCTTTGCGGGGCTAGTGGCGCAATGCGATACCATACGGGTCTAACGCAAACTAACTAGGGCTTTCCCGTTAAGCTCGGATCACTTAAGCGAGAAGCTGGCAAGGAAACAATCACGAAGAGATGTCGCCAAACTCCCCGCAAAGCCTTGGCCACTTTCAATTACAGCGAGAAAGTGGCGAATCTATTTCAAGTCAAATGGTCTCAGCATGAAGTTTGACTAAGGATGGTTACCCCTGGTTGAGACGAAGCTCGACGATTGGCTGTTTTTCATCCTTAGAGACCTGTTTCTAAAGCAGTTTTTCACTACACACGCCGCACGAGCAACCTCGCTTGCATGCAATATCACTCTCCTTTGGTTGCCAGGGCACACGAGCCGAATTACCCGTCTCTGTGGATAGCATCTCGGTCAGGCACATACCCACTTCGCTCCCCGAGGGGAGGGTGTTGTGATGTAGACCATGGCAATTAAATGCCGCCTCGAACAAAATGTGACAGCACAGTTCGCCATCGAGTTATGCGAAGGAGTAAATGGAGCAGCTCGACCGCCGCCAGAGACGACTTCCAGCGCCGATGTGAGGGATCTTCTTTTCATGCGAGGGAATTCGAATTCACGCAAACAGCACGGGTCCGAGATCAAGGCTGGGAGCATCCATGTGGCGCCGCTTTTTGACCACACGGGACGGACCACCCCTCCAATCGGCGCTGGGCTTATTGTCGTTGATGGATATTGCTCGTCGAAGTTTGCGCGTCGGTTATTCAGGAATATGCATGTGGGTGCAAGGGGTCTGTCTCTACGAATAGTGGTTTTAGATGCCTACGAGGGTCCAGGCCATGCAGCCTGGTCAGCCTCTGACATAACCCCGGCAGAATGGACCGCTCCAGATCGTCGTGTGTGCGCGCCACGTTTTCTGTGGAAGCACGATCTCGTGGTGGCATGGGGGTCAGAAGGATTTCGAACTACGAAAACCCTCTTCTCGACATCGACTATCCTGTGATTTGGCGGCCTGGCTCTGCACTCGTCGAGGCGACCGAGTCGACCACCTGCATGTTTCCGGGACAAATTGTCCCTCGAGACCTTTCGCGATCCAAGCGCAGCGCCGAGGTTGGAGCCTTGTCCCACGCATATTATTGGGGCCTCCCTTTTTGGTGAGATGCCAATCGGTCACCATCCCTTTCTGGTCGACGCCCACTTCCATTGATCCCGATCTGGATACCATGCACTTCCCTGCCATGCAGTTAAAGGTGCAGACTGGGTCCCCTCAGCCGTCGATGTCCCATGCAGCTACCAATGGGAACCACGATTCAGGTCCCTTCAGGTCCTTTCATACCCTTGATGGTCGCCGCGTCCACAGCAGAATCTGCACGAAGCTATTGCCATCAACGGGCTGAAGCCCCATTGCCTTCTGCACACCACACTCCCGGGAGAACAAATTGAGCAACACGACGTACACGTGGCTGCAAGGGTGGTCCACGTGGTGATCGCGTGGCCTTCCTGCACAAACCACAGCGCTGTGCCATCAACCCTCGGTACGATCAGTTGGTAACTGGACGCCGCTCTTTCGACGAGGTTGCTCCATTTCTCTTCAGCTGAAGGTTGCAATTGTCCGGCGCTTCCCAAAGTCCTCCAACTAACTGACTCGCCCCAGACCTTACGGCAACCTCCTCAAGCATGTAAGGCGTACCGCTTCCCGAACGCAGGGCACAGACTCTCTGATAAAACCGTTACCCATATCAAGTGGTAGCGCACCTCGCTTCGGATATGTCATTGCGTCAGTGGCACTCGTGCCACTCCCATATGCGACTTATCGCGCCGAATGGATTTATTTGTCTACCCACCCATTGTTTCAGCCAGCACGAGGTGGTTTTGCTGTGACTATGCAAGCCACAAACATTTCCAAGAGAAATAACTGCTCCAAATCCAACAGTCCGTGCTCATTGAGAGCCATTTACACACTCACCCCAAGGCTTATCAAAGTTGAGTCTCCAGGGCCTACAGGGGTCACACTCCTATCGACCAAGATTCTCACTAGGTTTTCTTTGAGCTAATCCACACAGGCAAAGTGGACAGTCTGCTGACATTGTTTTGGCGCTTGGGCTAAGGTTAGGATATTCTTCCAGCTCCCTGACTATGTCATCAAGCTGTCGTTTGCTGAATCCAGAGGCACCGCGACTTGTCGCGAATGCAAGCTTTACAATAGCGATACAGCATTTAATACAGTGTACACCATCCCACATGACGCACATGTCCCTCCAGTGGGGATTGATCTTTGCCCACTTCGTTCGCTTAGCACAGGCATCCTGCATTACGCCTGAGGTGAGGACTCCGTACAAAGCTGCATACCACAAGTTGCACACGAGAGTTGAGGGGCTGGGAGAGGCATAGGTTCCCGCTATTGCTCCCCATCACCCAAAGTCATGGAAAACCTGCAGGGGCTTTCCTCGACCATACACACTCAGCCACCCAATATTGGGTAAAGAATGAGTTGACTGGAGCACTACCATGGTCCACACAGAATCAGCCAAAGAGACTAGGAGTTGTCCGACCAAAAGGGGTACAAGTCGTGTCTTGAGTTCAAAAGCAAAAAATCATGGTACCAGGCCATGTACATGGTACATATGTCAAAGAACGGAATCTGATCTAACCGACGCACACCCGCCCGTCCGCCCATTGCAAAAGTGGTGCTCTTGGTATGCTCAATGGCTGCTTGTGACCCAGAGTCCCACACTGATTGTTGAGTGTTGACACAAATCACGCGGATACCATAACGAAACTCTCTCCTTCTCGCTAACACATCTCCTGAACAAGCTTCTAGCAGGGACAGTGCCCTTGGAGGCACTACGCCTTTCGACAACCAGGGACCTTGTCCGACTTGATGCGAAGGTTCGACCTGGGCAATCTTGCTAGTGAAGAAGGGAGAAGCCATATAAGAGCTCAGCCATATAAGAGCTCAGCCAATAGATTCCATTGGAGCCTGGTGTTCGTTAACGAATGGCGTCCAAGGTCATTGCACTTCCTCCACAAAGCTACGGATGGAATACTGACCGGCTCCAGCGCTCTTGCCATGCTTAAGGCCTAGAGATGGACTTTCCTACACTTAGAGTACACCTTGTCAATCTTCCATTGGAGCGGTTCTTTATCACATGATTTCGAAGGTCCGTTGTCCAGCGGACTCTCTGATGCTAGAAGGTCCCCAGATGGATACATCCGTGAATGCACAAACTGACATTGGGAGACCCCCGTACCATACACAGTATTAAGCTTTGCCGCCTCAATCATTTACGCAAACTCTCCTAAGTGAACACCTCGTAAGCCAGGTTCGTGTAGATGTTTTCATCCTTGAGACGTCGAGGAGATAGGGCGACAAGTGTGAAGCAAAGCACCGTTTAGAGGGATATCCGCTAAACTAAGCCAGATCACAAATGCTTCATTGTGACGAACCAGCTCTTCCAACGTGTATACATCGAGTACGAGGTGTAGATTGGCAGTTGGTTGAGATTTGGCTGCTACGGTGGAGTTGTTGATGCCAAGGTGAAGTTACGGCGGAACTACGGCTGTGACTACGGTGGGTCTTTTGCGCTGCGCAAGACTAGAAACTCAAGATTTCGCCATCCAAAACTCAGGGGCCCAATGATTTACTCAAACAGCACAGCGCGGCGAGGGCAGAATGACGCCTTCGCTCTGGTCAAGCTACAGACACGACCATCCTATTCTCACCCTATTTGTGCTCTTTGTCGCTTGGAAGTCGGTGATAATCCTCATCACCCTAGCCGCCCCTGGCGTCGGATACGACACGTCCACAAGCCTCCTGGACTGGGAAGATGCAGGTCAGCAAACCATATCAGACACCCCAGACGACATGTCAAACTGGTGGATGAAGCTTGTTCGATGGGATGCTATATATTACACGCACCTATCGGACCAAGGACATGTTTTTGAGCAGGAGTGGGCGTTTGGCATTGGTCTGTCGACGGCAATATCATGGACCAGCACATGTATCTTTCATTTCCCCCTTTGATGCGTTCGGAGCTCACTTATTGACGATATCCCAGACCTCTCACAGCTGGGAATCACCGGAGAGCCATCATCATCCTTGGCCGGAATCATTTTGTCGCACATAGCCCATTGGCTGTCTGTTATCCAGCTATGGGCATCGACAGAATCTCTAATCGGAACCGACGAACCCACCAAGTCTCTGGTCCCATTCTCCGCTGCTGCACTCCATATCATTTCTCCTGCGGGCGTGTTTCTCTCTGCCCCTTCTTCCGAAAGCGCCTTTGCATTTCTGTCCATGTCTGGCTTTTTGGGATATATTCACGCGACCCAGCATTTCAACCGAGGTCAAGTATTCGCCGCCTGTACCACGATGATCTCCACCGCCATGTCTTTTAGTACTGCTACAATCGTTCGGAGCAATGGAGTCTTGGCTGGAATACCGTTTTTGGTCGAAGCGCTTACCACGTTCCTTGCCATGTTCTCCCGGGGCATCTCGCCTTCGCGGGTTGCTTGGCTGGCCTCGGCCGTGGCTGGCGGTCTCCTGGTGGCCTTTGGCATGGCGTATCCGCAAGCCCTGGCATATTGGGAATACTGCCACGGCCGCGACCCCCGCGACAGGAGACCCTGGTGCAATCAGACACTCCCGTCCATCTTCACCTTTGTCCAATCTCATTACTGGTGAGGGAGTCCACGAGTCGCCATGTATGTTTGGCCCACCGCTAACAAAGTACTTCGACCAGGAACGTCGGTCTCTTTCGCTACTGGACCATATCGAATCTCCCGCTGTTTCTCTTGGCCGCACCGACCCTCTCGATCTTGATTTACTCCGCCGTGGATGTCCTACGGCGCCCTCAGCTTGTTATCCGAGACTCGACGCCATCGTTGTCCACAACCATATCGGCTGGCAATCGAGCGCTATTGAGCCTGGCCCTGCCGCAACTCATTCTCACCGTGCTTGCACTCACGAGTTACCATGTACAAATCATCACGAGGCTATCTTCTGGGTATCCGCTGTGGTATATCTGGCTGGCGATCAAGCTTCAGACGGAACCGAAGCGAGCTTCCGTGGTTATTCGGTGGATGGTCATCTATGCTTTGGTTCAAGCGGGACTTTATGCATCATTTCTGCCTCCAGCTTAGATTCATGGCTAGTTGTGGTCGAGAAGCATCATAATTGCAACACAGAGCCGCTTGACGCAGCGGACTACAAAATTCGGCCCATCCACTGGCAACAACCGACTATTCTGAGAAAAATAAGACTACTTTTCCACCGATTTCACCTTGACTCGGATCCCGTTGGTGTCGAGCTTAACAGTTGGCACGAAATAATCGTGGGCTAACACCGTATCCGACACGTCAGTCTCGTACAGCTCAAAGGAGAACCTCCTAAAGATCGAGGCAAGCCCCATGTACAGCTCAGCTTGAGCAAGACTGCAACATGTCAGCAGCGTTCCAGCGTGGCATGATACTAAGGCCAAGAGTGGAGAGGTGGAAAGCAGTCACAACTCACTTCAACCCAATACATTGCCTTGTTCCTCTCCCAAACCCAATAAAGTACCGCTCTAGCGGTTGGCCGTCCCTTGTGGTTGGGTTGTTCAGCCACCTCTCTGGAATGAACGAATGTGATTGAGGGAAGATATCCTCGTCATGATTCATGTCGACGATAGTCATGGAGACTGGTGTGCCTGCCGGGATCACCCAGTCTTTGTACCTCAAATCGTGACGGGCGACCCGAGGCAGCCGTGAAGCGATCCCATATGCTAGTCTAATACCCTCTTTGATACACCCTGTCAAGTAGGGTAACTGTTCAAGATTCTGCCAGTCGAGCTGCGTGGATGGGTCGGGAATGGCCTCTTCAAGCTCGGCACGTAACTTCCTGAAGATGTCGGGCTTGTCAATGATGTGGAAGCTGGCCACCGCAGCGGCCCAGGACGTGGTCAAGATGGCAGCCCCAATGATGACTTGAGCCTCTTGGACCATCCGGTTGACCGACTTCTCCCT